ACAACTCTATCAACTTCGTCAACTTTGTCAACTATGTCGATCATTCTGATCACATGACTTATCCGTAGCGCAGTCACAGATCACGGTTTCAGCGGTCCCATAAAATTGCCAATTTTGAATATCATTTTCGCTTTTTACAAATTAATTATAAAATTTTTATGATATTTTTTAATTGGGTTACTTAATATAGATAAGTGATTAGACTTCTCTAGAGTTAGTAATCTCTTAAATAGTAAGGACCGCTTAAGGACCTACATATAAGGTTGCGGGGCCAAACCTAAATCAATTTGTGAAAAATTGAAACTTTTTAAAGATAATTTTGACAGTTTCGACGGGTTTCGACAATTTCGATAGATTTGATAAATTTGACGGATTTTGATAATTTCTGACGATTTGTAGATTTTTAACAGGTTGGATTGTAATACAATTCGTAGATTATAAAAGAACTTTAATAATCTATTTGCTTATTTTTATTCAAAGATGAAGATCCAAATTTAAAAGGCTTTAGTGAAATACTAAGGCGGCATATGCTGCACTATTTGCTGTATTGGATGTTAGCAAAAAGGATTACAATTGCAGGATAATGAAAATATTGATGAATATACTGCTAAATTAGCATTAACAGACAAGTTTCCGAATACCAATTTCACGAATATACCTTTTTCTGAAGTCCACTCACCCAAACGCAAATTTCCCGAATTGGAAATTTTACTAAAAAGTCCAATTTCTCAATGTCAAATTCACTTATTTTCCCGAATCAAATTTCCTGAATCCCGAATCCTAATTTTCTGAATCCCCATATACTGAATGGATATTTTCCTGAATTGACCAAATTTTGATACTCTGAATGTTTTCAGAAACCGTAGATCCACTACAATGGTGGAAGGTAATTATATTTTATTAATTATTAATTTACAAAAGATGATTCAGAAATATGGACATTCGGTATATTGGGATTCAAGAAATTGGGTATTTATACGTTAGAATTTGTGAAATTTGATATTCAGAAAAATGGATATTTTATGCAATTCAAGGAATTGAGAAATTAAACTTTTTAGTAAAATGTCTAATTTTGGAAATTTGTGTTTGAGCAAGTGGACTTCAGGAAAAGGTATATTCAAGAAATTAGCATTCAAACAATTGTGATATAACCCTAAATTAGAAACAAGTTTTCATAATTATACATTATTTATGGAACAAGGAAATAATAATTGAAAATTTGTTAATATGTTTGGAATTAATAAAGAACTTTTACATGTTGGAAATGTATTTGATAATTGGAATTCTTTTCATATTGTCATTGAAGCATTTGCAAAGAATCATAGTTTTGTTACTAATAAAATTGAATCTTGATTCTATTGATAAGTCTATTATTTGATATATTTGTTGGAAATTTGGCATAAATCAAATAAAAAAGTTGAGAATATTAGTATTTATCATGATAAAGCTTTAAAAAATATATTGTCTGAGCATGTAAATTTTTATCTTGAAAGACATTCAAGTATTATAAAGCTTACACAGTTTTCAGATTTTTATAATTACAAATACAATTCAGAGATTATTGATTTAGCTCTGAAAAATTTGAAATTTTCTTAAGCAATCTTAGACAAACTTGAACATTATTCTATTTCTAATTGTTTGGATTCTGATCAACAGGATAATCTTCTTGTTAGCAAATCTGATGCGTATTTATGAAATTCTTCAACGATGATGGTTATTTTCGTACATAAAAGTAATGTGGATGGGTTTGAATTTTTGACATGAATATGTGTATAGTTTGCATAAATGTTCAAATATGATATCCAAATCAACAGAACATTGCATGTTTTAATCTTCATCTTCGGCTCTGAATGGTCGTTCGTGATGCTTAACCGTTAAAAATGATTATACAGATATTTTAAAAAAAAAATTCCAAAATTTGCAATGTCCTAATTCGCAAAAAAAAAAAAATACTTACCTAAATACATCAAATTCACGAGAAAATAATTGCTTCGAATATGGCGTGATGTATTGTTTCGTAATCTGTTTTCTGAACCTTAATAAACTTGTTTAGTAGTTTTGCTGCAACAACTACTAAAATAAAATGAATAAAAGAAATATTGAATTAGATATCATATCCACGGATTTAATAAAGGTGATTGATAAAAAAAAAAGCCACGAATAAATATTATTTAATAAAGGAAAAGTATGGTTAAAGTTAATATTCCAAAATATTGTATGACAACAAAAACCACGAGTTCATTCGAGTCAGTTTAAATATTTGAAATTTAAATTAAAATACTAACCGTGACAAATTAGGTAGTGGAAACAGCGCTAGGCATGGAATGAAACGTGCATCATGCCTTGGGTTCGAATTCTTGCTGCTGCCTCCTGAAAAAAAAAATAATTTTTTTCGTTTTAATCATGGGATATGTATGGTAAATAATATGATAAGTAATATGATTTTAAACGTCATACGTGTGTTTTTGCAAGAAAGAGTTTTAATACAACTATATTTCAATAAAATAATAAAATTCATATTTTTTATTTGAAATGAGATTTTAAAATTTTTGAAAATTAATGGTAAACTAACAGTTTATTAAAAGTATGTATATCAGAAATTAAATAATTAGTCTTATTTTACGTTTGGAAATATGCGCTTGCCACAAATGTTGTTCTATAAAAAATGTATATCTCCTGCCGGATTAAAAAAAAAGAAGAATTAAATTAATATTATTTAGAAAAATTATATAATTATATTATCTATTGATAAAAAAATTGATTAAAATTTTAATCTTACTAAAACAATGCATTTGTAATAAAAAATCGAGATAAAAATACAAATAAAAGTTGACAATACAAAATCTGTATGAAACTTGTACAATTTTTGCCGATGACGGTTGTTGAATAAGAATTGAAATCAAATGAACTTCTATGACGATTTGTTATCATATTTTTGGTTATGATTGTAGGAAATATTGTTAAATATAAAAAATTTATATTTAGCGATTATTTTGCTAAAGTTGCCAATTACTTTCTATTTCAGTTTTCAGACCAATGACAAACCAACTATTATTTAATATTCTTATTTTTTTTTAAAAAAAATTATTTGTATTTTATATAAAATTTTTTTTTTAAAATTCTTTTATTTACATTTTAACATGTTTGTTTCTCAATAAGACATAAATTTTATCATCTTTATTTGATTATTATTAATTAGAATCGCAAAAATTATTCATTCGTTTATTATATATACTTTCGGTAAAAAAATATGAAATAACTATAACATTAAACATCTCGATTAATTCGATGTTAAAATTCAAAATTTCGGTAATCACGTAAACATGTGTGTCCGAAGCCCAAAGTTGCAGAGATAAACTTTTATAATTTTTATACATATTGAGGATCGTTTAATGCGTTGGTAAAGAAGGTGTAAAGTTTTTTTTTATATAAAAAAAGCTTTCTCCACAAAAAAACATTATTTATTTATTTATATAATATATAATTAAAATATTTAAATAATAAATAACCTTTCATTGTATTTTTTAATACAATGGTTTTTTAAATCACTATATTCAAAATTTGATAATTATTAATTTAGGTAAGTATGTTTCTATTGTTTGATTTTACATCTTCCAGATTAATAAAAAATATATATATATATATATATATTTATATATATAATTTAAGTAAATTTAATACCTTCGGATTTTAAGTCAATTTCATAATATTATCATTACGTGCAAGTAAATAAATTGGTGTATTATTATTATTAATTTTTTACATCATACTTTGTGCTATTTACCTGTTTGACATGGTAAACCATGGGTTTCTCACAATGAGACCAATAATTTTGATTGTTATATTAAAATTGAAACTTTGAAAATTTTCTCAATAATACCAAGTTTCTCGATTTGTAGAAGTACATGTGGGAGAGTTATATTTGAAGATGACGTTATTGTGGATATTTATGTAGATTTATTATCTATAATAAATATACATATCTTCTGTTGGCTAGTACGATCTATTTCTTCTAGAATGAGATTATCTCGCATGCGTCTACGGTCTCTGGAATGCCTTCAATCTCCAGAGCGAGACTTATACAATTAAGATTCTTGTATTCTTTCAATAGTATGAGCTGTTCTTCATTTAAAGTTAGAACACATGTATTTCGATTTTAGTACTATCTTCAATTCCAAAGGGAGTGCACAATGAAACTTCAAAAAAAAAAATTAGTTGATCGGTTACATGACATTGGTTAATTAACCGAACTTGAATCATCCAATCAAAATAGAGATTTGAGAAAGATGCAGTACTATCTTCCGTTTCGAAGGTAGTGGAGTAAAATCTTTAGCATAAAAGAAGTTCATTAAAAACTTCATTTTATAGATATTTTGAGTATTGTCGCGCAAAAAATTGCAAAAACCATTTTACATTCGAAATTTTATAGATGTATCGGATCTTAAACTTTAATTAATCGAGTTGGCTTAAAATTTTTGTTTAAATATAAATGGATTCAATTGACTTTTTTAATCAATACTTTGTTAAGAGGGCTCATTCAATCATTAATTAAAAAGCTTATAGGATGTAATATAATCGATTCCCAATAATAATTACAAATTCAAAAGAGATTTCTAAATTGTTATTTGCTTTTGAACATAAATACCCCTTTAGCGAGTTATGAAGATTTTGAAATGATTGATTATAATGCTGACTATTATCAAGAGTAATGGATGTTTTTTATTGGATAATAATAAATATGATTTAGAATCATTTGTTGGGGTGAGGCCATAATTTACTAAATATGAACATTATAGCAAAAGGTTCCTGAATGGTTTAATGCGTCATTACATATAGAATTCAAATAAATAAATAATTAATTCAGATTTCTTGAGAAACAACTGTATCATATCATATGAAGAAGATACCTAATACCTGTACGTTCATATTTATAGTATTTTTCTTAAAACTATAGTATTTACTTTATCCAATGTCAGTTTTTTATTATTTACAATTTTTAATTATTTTAGAAATATTAAATTTTCCTTACCGGAACTAATTTTTTTATATGTAATATTCTAAATGCGAAAATATATTAACTGAAATAAAAAAATTATACAATACTTGCAATACACAGTTAGTTTTAAATGCATAGCATTTCACGTTGAAGAATTGCACTTTGAATAATTTGATCACGAGATGTAAATGACTAAAATTTGGACATAAATATTCTATAAATTTGATTTAATCTTTATTATTTTATAAACAAGAGTGAATAATTATTAGATAGTCCTTTTAATCATGTTATAAATATAATATATCAAGACATTTCAAATTTTTCACCATCAATTTGAACTGAAACATTATGAGATCCATTAATAGTAACCTTTTCTTAACATTAACTAAAACGTCACCAACGGGTCATATTCCATTTCCTTGTATGACTAAATATCTATTAGATTATTTTTACAATAATAGAAAGTTGATGATTTGATTAATTCTTATTAAAACGTTCGGACTAAATCCAAATCGCGTCAAAACCTAAATTGGAGTTAAAAATAAAAATTTGTTAAAATACGAAATTTTTGATATAATCGAACTTATTAACAAATCCCAAAAGAGTTCAACAGCAAAAATGTCTAATCTATTATTATTAGAACCGCGTTGAGGATTTCCTTGACCTGGCAGGGAAGTACAAAAAAAAAAAATACGTTAACATTAACATCAAAGAATTAAAAATAATTATCATGAGGTTGGCATTGCATATATAATTTTTAATTAATCCTCCGCCCTATAATAATGTTTCCAGTTTTATTTGCAAATACAACTTGTTATCTCAGATACTATATCAATAACTAACCTGGGATTTTTAAAAGTTTTAAATGAAATCAAACCACCCAATGAACCATCATTGAGAGCTGGAAAATACTGAAAGAATATTATTTAATTTTATTGAAATCATTTAAAATTATCCATCGACTTAAAAGCTCTATGAACAGAAAATAAGAAAATGAGTAAAATGGAATTGATAAAAGTATTAAATTATATAATTTATCAAAGAAAATAACGGGGAAGATGGACGCTAGTTAGGACGAAATATATAAACATAATATACTTATATACATAACCTGGACGTTAATTTTGAGTAAATTTCGCGTGGAAAGTTGGGATAAAATTTTAGTTTATTTTCTGTATAGATTTCGATGACATTTATTCCCGCGATACTAATCAAGATATTATACATGAAGGTGTGGTCTAAGTTGGTGAATCCTTTTATCCGCCTTGTGCAAGTAAAGAGAAAAAATAACAAACTAAACTAATCAATCTTACCTTTATTGACACATCACTGAATATCAACAATTAAACGAACGAGTATAATCCGCAAAGCAATAATAAGGCATGTTGATTTATAAAGTAAAACGTATATTTTGATCTTTTTAGCACATTTTGATCGCCGAGAAAATCGTGATCGTTAACACTTGTCTCATTGACGCAGATTTCTTGATTTTAATCGAATGCACGTAATTTGACGTAGTATTAAAAGTCCGGCAGTTTCCCTTTTCTATGCAATAGTCCCGTATTATCCGAAATGTTCATTTTGGAAATCCGAAGCGAGAATTTGCATATCCAAAACAGTCTTTCAAATGCACATTTCGGATATCAACGCATTTGGGTTACAACTCTATAGTTAATAAAATTCTTATTTACACGATTCCACTTGTGTAATTGATCATCACAATATATGAAACACGATAGGATTGGTTTGAAGTTTTAATTGTATTGTTGAAAGGGGTATTGTTTGTTCTGATACATTTCCAGACAACAACGGGTTTGACTGCATAGTAAGTTTATTTATTTATCCTTACATTAAACTTCATCTATTGTTAAAATCATCAAATGATTGAACCTGAAGAAAATTGCTACTTACTTGAAAGATCGTACGTGCCGGATGGTAAAGATGATATTTTATATGATCCAGTAGAACTCCAAGTGATTGAATCTCCACAAGATACATTATTTTTAGGAGTAGATAAACCAAGATGAACCTTGATTTTAATACACAAACAGCCTCTATTTCATACATCACCAGAACAGCTACTTTTATCATTCTTTTTAAAGAATGAATGGTAGACGAATAGGAAAATTTGGACCAAGTTCTAGATGAATATGAAGATGAAGAGCTTGATGAATATGATGTATTCTTTAAGCAAAGTTGAAAATATCTTTCAACCAAAGTATATGATGAATATTATTTACAACTACAAAGATATTATCATGTCACAAGAATTGATGTGGCAAGTACCAGGTAGTAAGGTTGAACCTAAGGAAATGTCAATTCAAGTAATACTAAGAGAAACCTTAGAAGAAACTGGCATTTCAATTGAAATAGAATATAAAGTATTCCTTTTCAATGACAATTTTCTATAATTATTATATATACATTACTAGGGTTGAGCTAAGCTAGATATTTCAATGAACTGAGTCAGAAAAATAAGAAAAATGGTAATCACTTTATTTCAGAGAATATGCAGATATGGAAAATGACCCTATTCATACCAAATACTTGGATAAAATATTGGAAGAAATTTATAAAAGGATATATAAACATATTTCTCTAAGTACAGTCACACTTCGATATAACGAAGTTGCCGATCCAGCCGATCAGGACTTCGTTATAAGAATCTTCGTTAACGCTA